TTCCTTCAGAGAAAAAATCCTTTCCAAGCCCCTGGGCTTATTAACTCCTGCCTGTGGGTACCCAGACAGGCCCAGACACCCTCCTTTTAGGCTCTGTCAGTGTTGAAACCAACCTAGATAGTTGGTTCATTCGCATAAAAATAAGGAGGTAAGAATCCTGAGTGATTTGCTGAGCAAACAACTCATTTCAGGTAAACAAGTATTGATTGAATATCTACCATGTGCAAAGCAGAATGAGAACTTGAGCCCAGGTCTCCCAGTGCCAAGTTCACTATTCTTTCCACCATACCACACTGCCTAGGCCAAACTACCAACACCTCACCTCTACCTTCAAAATAACACTGGATGCTTATGGGGTAGAAGCCCTGAGATTTGTAGAAAATATTATTTGAGTTCATATGTTTTATAGCAGGTGCTACCAATCAACTCCAGCCATTAAAAACATTAAGTGTGGCCCTAGGTGAACTGGATCCTAACAGTTCCGTCAGTACAGTTGTCCATCAGAGCATCTGCACAGTAATACTGCTGTCAGCAGCTATGGAGCTAAAGCCAGACTGCCAAGGATGAAGTGGAAATTAGGTGGTCTGGAAGGGAAAGAACAAATGTAGACTTTTTTCCCAAAAGCATGTCGGGGAAGGAAGAATAGATCTGTTTGAAGATCTCAGTTTTGTTTTGTTTTTAAGATCTGAAGGATATGAGTATACATGTAGTCTAAGGGAAAGTTTCTTGAGAACGGAAAAGGATGAAGTTGCAAAAGAGATGGAATAATTGATAGAAATCATAATAGTAAATGTATATAAGTATTACTATGTAAGGCATTATTCTAAGAACTTAACATATTTAAATCAGTTTAATTCATTCACAAATCTTATGAGGGAGACACTAATACTATTCTGATCTTATAGATGAGGAAAATAAGATATAGCTCAGACAGCATCAGGTTATAAAACTGGGATTGGAACCTAGGCAGTCAAACTCCAGAGTCTATGCTCTTCATGGAGATGCAAATTTGCCTCTCTGGGGACAGTTTTTGAGTTGAATGAGGTACACTGATTCTGGCCTAGCATTCTCAAGAAGAAACAATACTTCTTTTTTCCAGCAGAAGGAACTGAGGACAGGACAGGGGGAGGAACAGAGAAGTTTAGAGCAATAGGGAAGAACAGTTGAAAGCGTTCAAATTGGATGGCTAGACTGGCTGTTAAGGTCCAGTATGTTCAGGATGGTAAGCCCATGTTGTCAGTACAAATACGCAGACAAAAATTACCTCCATACTTGCTATGGCAGGTGCCATCTTCCAATTAATCTACCAACTACAATTATTTAAACAAAAGTGTGAAAGCTGTGACTAGGCCAAAGATCTATTTTATAGCACGTATGTTCATACATTCGGTTCCTCCCCATGCTAATTCTGGCATACTTATCATGGTACAAACTTTACAGCAACATTAATATCCTGGGATCCATCCTGAGGTTGTACAGTGTGGACTCTGATGATTCCTGTGGAGAATATCAAAACTGATAGAGCAATGAACTCCAAAAATTCTGAGATTGTGCCCAGTGGTTTCCTGGGTGAGGTGAGCCAAGCACTGACCAATCATGGGACAATGGCAGAATATGGCCATACCTCTGGCAGCATCCAGTTTCAGAGACCCAAATTTACCATTTCTTTTATTTCCTTTTTTTCTTTCAGACAGGGTCTTGCTCTGTCACTCGGGGCTGGAGTGCAAGGGCATCATCATAACTCACTGCAACTTCCAACTCCTGGGCTCAAGGGATCCTCTTGCCTCAGCCTCCTGAGTAGGCTCACCACACCTGGCTAATTTTTCTATTTTTTGTGGAAACAGGGTCTCACTCTTGCTCAAGCTGGTTTTGAACTCCTGGCCTCAAGCAATCCTCCTACCTCAGCCTCACAAAGCGCTAGGATTACAGGTATGAGTCGCCATGCCCAGCCCCAAATTTACCATTTCTTGAGAAGAACCCAATTCCAGAATTTTTTGAGAATAAAGTTGTTATAGAATGCCCAGTGCTAAATCACATGTTTCAAATTACAAGTACTAGAAGAATTACAAGTACTGAAAAGGTAGTTAAGGCAGTAGCAATTAACATCTGTTCAGCTCTTTAGGTACCAGATACTTTACACATGTGCTGATAAATCAGCTCTGACTTGTAGCAATTTCCATGCTGTAAACACACTCACCATAGCCAATTTCAAACTACCAAACCAATTCAAGAGTTCCTGAATATTTAAGTCAGCTCTAGCCAGCAGGTAGCAGCCAGCTCTAGCACACCACTACTTTGTTATCCCATCTCTTCCCCACAACGACCTTTTAGGATAGGAACCATTGTTATCTCCAGTGTACATATTAGGAGAAATATTTAGAGAGGTGTAATAATTTGCCCAAGTGCACAGAGCTAGAAAGGGGGCAGAACTTTGAGGAAGCTGTAATATATATGACCCTAATAACATCTAGACATAAACTGACTCTATTTTTACCCTAAAGACACAGATTCACACAGATTCCAGGTGGTAACAGTTGCCACTCATTAACCAGTCTCCATATCTGAGTAGCTTCTGTTACAGATTAATTTTCTGAGGCCCTTTGGGAGCTTATTTTATATTTTTGAGTTTTCACTGTTCAGTAATGAACGTCTATGTAAAATCCCATAATTGTATTTATTTTACTTAGTATTTGGAAAATATTCTAGCCCCTTGCTGTGCAAAGAATGGTCCAACTAGCAACGTAATCTGAGAACTTGCTAGAAATCCGGAATCTGTCCCCCTGCCTAGATCTACTAAACCATATTGTACATCTTAGGTTGATCCCCAGACAATATGTATGCACATGAAAATTTAAGGAGCATTGCTTTAGCGTGTAATGATCAAATTGGGGCTCTCATATACCAAGACTGTCTCACATTGTAAGTTGTTCTTGCTATTGGGAGGGGTTGGCACTGATGCAACAACGCACTCGATCTTGTCCTGTCCCTTTTGTGGCTGATAGGGGTACAGTTCATGGCCATAAAGCAGAATGACTCTACAGAGTGAGATTTCGCTTTATTAGCAAATATTTGAAGCAAACAGCCATAGCCTTTTCTTCCATTAACCTTCTTGCTAACCTAACATTTTATTTTCCTAACTCTATAAGAAACTTTGAAGAGCTAAGTTCAATTAGAGTCCTCTCAAGGACTTCCTGTCAGAAAAATAATTAATGCAAAGAAAAATATTCTTCTAAACACTCCAGAGTCTTCCAGGAAGAGACAGAGAGGAGGAGGGAGATTGCTGGAGCCAGACCTCTATGATGTGCTAACTTAATTCAAACCACAAGACTGTATTTAAACTTGGCCAGTCATTCATGAATTAAAAATAGAAGACATGTGGTCAAAGTTAGAACATTTTAAAAACACTTTTGAGATGTTCAGCAAATTCACCATCCACACAAACATTTAAAAGCATTGTGGGTTGGGTTTTCATTATGTTTTGTTTTTGTATTTTCCCAAATCCATTGGATTGCTGAGGAAGTGGTCACAATCCAGATGCAATTGAATGCCAGTCCCCAAGGTTTCAAGTTGAGATAGATATCTAGTAATGAAACAAGTGCAATTCAGAGAAAGAAAACATTTCAAAAATATCTGTTTGAGGTTTTTAAAAGAAATTCCAAAATTATTCAGATCTGTGGATATCCATGGTATTAATAATAGGAATGCCCACCAACAAGTACAAGTTTGAATATATCCAAGTGGGATGAGAAACCCCTTTACATCTTTCACCTGAGCAAGGTAGTTTAGCAAACACCCCTATTACATAGCAGCAAGAACAGCATTTGTCCGTGAGGTTATGGGGAGGGTCACTGTGTTATCACAAAGGTGGTCATTCAGAGATGTTCCCTCAGCATCCACCTCACCTTCAGGCTGAGGTGCCTGAAGACCATAGCAGATGCCCCCCCAAGTCACCTCTAATCTGAAAGTTTCTTGTGAATAGGGTCCACATGCCTGTTCCACATCCCCAGAACCTAGACTATTCCTAGCATAGATAGTACTCATTAAATACTTACCATATGATTGAATGAATGAAGTCATGGCTCCAGATTAACCTGAGCATGCTAGAAATGCCTCATAAATACTTACCCAACTTCTCATCATTATATGCATGAAGATAAAAGTTCATAGGAGCTTAGAAACTAAAAACTAAAGAAAACATATGGTCAAGTCAGAACAGGGAGGGTCTGCACTAACTATGAGTGGGATCACATAGACTAGGAAGGGGAAGGGACGAGCAACACTTCCTGTGCAGCCAGCAGGCTTCCGTCATCTACTTCACCATCTTTGCCAAAAGTCTGATTTGTCCATTTGGGCATTTAACATTTAGCATTTAACAAACCAGTATCTATTACTGGCTACTGACTATGTGTATAGCGCTCTTTTGGCACTATGAGAGACAGAAAGCCTATCGTTCAGCTCCTGCCCTCTGGGAACTTAGAAGTTAGCTGTGGATGTAAGACTAACAAGATTATAAAACAATGCAAAATATCAGGAGGAGAAGCATGCAAATGTAATTTGTGATTAAGCACCAAATAGGATAGGATAATGAATGCTGAAATAATCAAAGAAGTCATTATAAAGGAAATATATTTTGACCTATAAGAGTCCCTAACACATACTAAGTGCTAAATATGTGTTTGTTTGTATGAGTGAATAAGTGAATGAATGTTAAAAGGTAGGAGTTGTAAGACCAAAACAATATGAAAATTATCTTATGGATAACATATATGTGTATATGGTAAGTATATGGCATATTTTATAGGGAAAGTGTTCATATTGTTGCTTCATGAAATGAAGTGTTGATGTAGTATAAATAAATATTTGGAAATTCAAAGTGACAGATGGCATCGATATTTAGTAGTGTTGTTCCAGGATTTTATACAAGAATATAGCTCTTAGTAAAACAGTGGAACTCCTAAATATATGGGCTATCCTTAGAAAATGTCCAATGTTCATGAATTATACTCATGGATTTTAAAGGAATGGCCTTAGAAATAGTTTGTAAACCCCTTGATTCCAAGGATGACGGCAAGGACTCCTTTGTCATACTGTCTGCAGTTCTGTTCCACAGTTGATAATATTCTTGAGTAGCCACTGCTTTTTCATCTCCAGTTGTGATGATCTCATGGAAACATCCAATCAGGGATCAGGTAGGATCAAGGTAAGAAGTGGTGTGGGATGGGTGGGGACAAGGGATGGGCAGGAGGGGTGGGACATGGTGAGAAGAAACACACATGACCAAGAAGCAATCCCAATTCCACAGGGACACAGGCTAAAGCAACCTGTATTGGTACAAAAGGAAGGTGATGCTTGAAGGATGGGTGATAGACTCTTGGGTTATACAACAATGATGGCAGTCATGAAAATCGTGATAATAATAATGATGACCTTCTCACTTCTCTGGGCCCTTCAATGTTTCTTTCTACATAAACCAATGCTGAGTCACTTCGTGGCTCATCCTTGACTGATTGTTTCTTCTTTTTCATAGGTACCTAGGGATGGGTGAATATGGAACAAGCCAGGATCCTCTTTAAACTCTGTTCCTTTGTTCTGCACACTATAACCATCATCCAAGGCTGTATGTAAGTACGGCACATTTGATTTACTAAAGGCTAAAGGGAACTAGATAGGAAGATAGATAGATAGATAGATAGATAGATAGATAGATAGATAGATAGATAGATAGATAGATAGATAGAAAGAATGAGATTTATTATAAGGAATTGACTCATGCAATTATGGAGGCTGAGAATTCCCATGATCTGCTGTCTGCAAGCTGGAGACCCAGGAAAGCCAGTGGTGTAAATTTTGATCCAAGCTCAAAGGCCAGAAAACAAACAGAGCTGGTGGTGTAGGTCCAAATCCAAGGATGGAAGAAGACTGATGTTCCAGCTCAAGCAGTCACACAGAGAAACTTCAACTTTCTTATGCCTTTTTGTATATTCAAGCCCTCAGGGTATTGGATGATGTCAGCTCACATTGGTGAGGGACAATTTGCTTTCCTCAGTCTATCAATCCAAATGCTAATCTTATCTAAAACACCCCCACAGACATATCCAGAATAATGTTTAGCCAAATGTCTGGGCATCTCATGCCCAGTCAAGCTAACAGATAAAATGAATCATCACAAGTTCACCCCTCATCAATTTGGCACCTATACACATCTCCATAAACCATACCTAATCTCCAAATAAAGGTAATCACCACATCATAATTCCACCTAACATGATACAACTATCCTGCACTCAACTGAAAACATGCTAATCCCTTCCCCAGAGAATGTAAAGTCCTTGAGTGATGTTTGCTCTTCTCCTTGATATCATGTAACTTAAATACTATGTGTAAAATTAACAATGTATAAATACTATGATATAAAGTCAATATATTGGCCAGGCGGTGGCTGGTGACTCACGCCTGTAATCCTGGGAGCACACTGGGAGGCCGAGGCAGGGGGATCATTTGAGCTCAGGAGATGGAGACCAGCCTGAGCAAGAGTGAGACCCTGTCTTTACTAATAATATAGAGCAATTAATTGGCCAACTAAATATATATAGAAAAATTTAGCTGGGCATGGTGGCACATCCCTATAGTCCTAGCTACTTGGGAGGCTGAGGCAGGAGGATCGCTTGAGCCCAGGAGTTTGAGGTTACTGTGAGCTAGGATGATGCCACAGCACTCTAGCCCGGGCAACAAGAGTGAGACTCTGTCTCAAAACTAAATAAATAAATAAAGTCAATATATCTTATGTTAAATAATAAAGAAATAAGAAAGGAAACACAGCAAATATCTTTGTTTTCTTTTCTTTTTATTTATATATTTTTCTCTTATTTATAATGTACATTACTATATATTATATCTCTAGTATATATTATATATATAGTATATATATATAAACAGTATATATTATAGATATTATATATATACACACACAAACATATTTGTAACAAAATAAGGAGGAAATTCTCATGGCAATTACAGTCTTTGTTTCTGTAACTGGTCCCATGGTTGTAGCTGGTATTTATAACTACTTCTTCCACTATCCATTCTATATTCCATTTGCCTTCAGAAAGCACCTCAGCTAGTCATGGTTCCTTACCTAGTGGGGTGACCCATACCTTTATTCTTAAAGGGGCTAGGCCATTAATAGTCCCATCTATATTGAATTGTAGTTTTTCATCACCCTTACAGGTCATGGTGATACTAAGGCAGCTCAAGGAATCACCTTTATTCCAGACATACTCTCTCTTACCTCCATTATGAAGTAGCAGTCCAATTTCCCCTTGGTAGTCAGGATCAATCACCCCACCCAGCATAGTAACTCCCTTTTTTTGACTGTTGATTCAGAGGCATGAGGAGGCCCACGTGGCTGGGTGGCAGTCTTAACTTCCACTTCAATGGAACCATTGTTATGTCTCCTGGTGGAAGCCTTTGTCCCTCTGGAACTGAGACCTCTAGGCCAGCAGAGCACAAGTGGAAACAAGAAGCAAAAATTTTGCAAGTGGGTCACTAAGGGTAATAGTGAGTGGTGCCACTCTCATTTCCACTCCTTAATTACTGGACCCATGAATCCTGGCTATGGGAGAAACAGCACCATATATTAGCATCAGCCATACATTGATGCTAATTCAGAGCATCTATAGCTTTCTGGAGACTCTTGCCCTAGTGCTGCAAGGTATTGCTACTTAGCTGGTGCTATAACCGGGTCTTCGAAAAGCCATATTCCATCTTCTATCAAGCCAACTGCTTCAAGGTGGTGGGGGACATGGTAAGACCAGTGAATTCCATGAGCACGAGTCCATTGTGGCACGCCTTTAGTGAAGTGAGTTCGTTGGTCAGAAGCAATACTATATGGAATATCATGACGGTAGATATGGCATCCTTTAAGTCCACAGCTGTTAGGTTTGGCAGAAGCACTGGTAGAGGGAAGACACATCTGTATGTAGAGTAAGTATACCAGTAAGAACCAGTACTGGTATACCAGTAAGTATACCAGTATACCAGGATACTAGTAAGTATACCAGTAAGAACCACTCTGCCCTTTCCATGATGGAATCAACCTGCCACCAGGTAGCTGGCTGATCACCCCAGGTAATTGTGCCATATCAGGGACCCAGTGTTGGTCTCTGCTGCTGGCAGATTGGGCAGTCAGTGGTGGCCATAGCCAAGTCAGCCTTAGTGAGTGGAAGTCCACATTTCTGAGCACATGCATAATTGTAATCCCTGCCACCACAGCCACTTCCTTTATGAGCCCACTTGGAGATGACAGGGGTGACTGGGTACAGAGGCTGAGTGATAGACACAGAACAGGTCATCCTATCTGCTTGATTATTAAAATTATTTTCTGTTGAGGTCACCTTTTGGTGAGCATTGCAATGGGACACAAATATCTTCACATTTTTTTGCCCATTCAGTAAGATCTATCCATGTACCTCTTTCCCAAATTTCCTCATGATCAGTTTTCTGATCATGTTTTTTCTAAGTCCCTGACCATCCAGGGCCACATCCCATGAGTCAGCATGTAAGCACACATCTGTCCATTTCTCCTTCCAAGAAAAGTGCACAACTAGGTGCACTATCCAAAGTTCTGTCCACAGGGAGGATTTCCCTTCACCACTGTCCTTCAGGGATGTCCCAGAAGGGGGTGCAGCTGTCCACTGTTGGGCCCTTTCAGGTGGTGCCTGCATATCGTGCAAAACCATCCTGTAAACCAGGTCTTCTCTTCCTCTGACAACTGACCATAGAGAACTCCCATGAGGCTGTAGGTGCAGGCTGCAAGAGAGAAGGCAGTGTAGCCAGAGTGGGGACCATGGGCACTTGGGTGACCTCTTCATGTAACTTACTTATGCCTTCAGGATCTGCTTGGACCCAATAATGTATATACCACTTCCATTTGATAGTGGAATATTACTGTACACACGCAGCTTCATGGCTTGGTGGGTCAGATAACACCCAGTTCATGAGCTCAGGTTGCATGGTAACTTGGTGGCCTATGGTAAAGCGTTCAGTCTCTACTAAGGCCCAGTAGCAGGCCCAAAGCTGTTTACCAAAAGGAAAGTAGTTATCTACAGAGGATGGCAAGGCTTTGCTCCAAAATCCTAAGGACTGGAACTATGATTCACTATAGGGGCCTGCCAAAGGCTCCAAACAGCATCTGTATCTGACACTGACACTTCAAGCACACTTTGGTCTGCTGGGTCAAGCAGCACAGCAGCTTGCACAGAAGCCTGGACCTTTTGCAGAGCCTTGTATTATTAGGGGCTTCACTCAAAACCAGCAGCTTTTTGGGTCAATTGGTAAAAGGGCCAGAATAACACACCCAAATGGGGGATATGTTGCCTTCAAAATCCAAAGAAGCCTGCTAAGCATTGTGTCTTTGGTTTTAGGAGGAGTCAGATACAGCAACTTATCCTCCACCTTAGAAGGGATACCCCAACATGCCCCACATCATGGGACTCCTAGAAATTTCACTGGGGTAGAAGGCCCCTTAATTTTAGTCAGATTTATTTCCCACCCTCTATCTCTCAGTGTATCACCAGTATGTCTAGAGTAGCTGCTACTTCTTGCTCGCCACGTCCCAATCAGCATAGTGCCATCAATGTAATGAATCAGTGTGATATCTTGTGCAATCAAGAGCCTTGCAAACTGAATTATGACATAGGGCTGGACAGTTGATATGCTCCTGAGGTAGGCCAGTAAAGGTGTATTTCTGGCCTTGCCAGATGAAAGCAAACTGCTTCTCATGGTCTTTACTAACAGGTATTGAGAGGAAAAGCATTTGCAAGATCAATAGCTGCATACTGTAATAGGTACCAGAGTGTAGGTTACTTTGTTAATTTGCTCAAGCAATGAAACCACATCTGGCATAACAGCTGCAATTGGAGTTGCCACTGGTTAAGCTTACAATAATAAGCTCTGAGATCCATCTGTTTCTGCACAGGCCAAAGAGTTGAACAGAGATGTGCTGGGAATCACCACCCCTGCATCCTTCAAGTCATTGATGATGGCACTAACCTCTGCCATGGCTCCAGGAATGTGGTAGTACTTTTGATTTATTATCTTCCCAGGTGGAGGCAGTTCTAGTAGCTTCCACTTGACCTCTCTCACCATGAGAGCCTTCATTTAACAGTTCAAAGAACCACTGTAGAGATTCTGCCAGCTGCCAAGTATGTCTATTCCAATTATGCATTCTGAAACTGGGGAAATAACCACAGGATGGGTTCAGAGACCCACTAGACCCACTGTGAGATGGACCTGAGCTAAATCTCCATTGACCACTTGACCTCCATAAGTCCCTCTGACTGGTAGACCATAGTGATGTTTAAGTCTCCCAGAATTAGTGGCTGTTCAGAGTCAGTGTCCAATAGTTCCTGATTATTTCTCTTTTCCCACTCCCTGATTATTTCTCTTTTCCATGGAAGAAGGCCATACATTCCTTTGGGAAAGACTGGGAGAAAGATTAACAGTATAAATTTTTAATAGTGTACTGAGATCCTTCTTCAAGAGACTTAGCTTCTCCTTCATTAAGGGGTTCTGGGTCTGTAAACAGGCTCAAGCCTGAGAACTGACTGAGGGGCTATGACTC